GAAGTACACATAATGTGACTTTCCACAGTGGTCACCATCCTTGTTTGCTTTATACCCACCAATTTTTATTTTATGCTCTCTCTGTATAAACCATCATTTGCAAATGAATACTCTGCCATAATCTGTTTTCATCTGCATTTTCAGTAAGACCACTTGGTGGAAACTTGTTTAAAATTTCTTGCTGTAGCATGCTTCCAACAAAATATCAATTTTATGACATTATTATGATATCTACCCAAAATAAAATTTAATTCATAGCAATTTTGCAAAGAAACTCAGTGGATAAAATATACTGGTTTCACATTCCCACCAAGGTTCATCATATACTTCATATTCAAAACAATTAACATCTCATGAACAATAGTATAAATCTTGTATCCAGGCAAATCAAAGTTACAATATATTCTAGTGATCTCCAAAGATAGAGGAATTTAAAGTGTGGAGGGTGCTGCACATGGTGTCCATGTATTTAAATCTAGTTCTCCTTTGGGAGCAGAGGTAAATAGGGCTCTGTGAGTTTGAGATCAGCCTGGCTGATGTAGTCTATACAGTTGGAAGATAGTTAGGTCTATCTACAAAACAATAACCCCATCTTAGCACTTTCAAAATCAAGGAATTTAATGCCAATATTCTGTCATTCAGTTGGAAAGAAACTAAATTTTGGTATTTTTACTAAAATCTTTATTTATATTAATACTTCCTTTCATAATTCAGGCAAGAAAAAGCAAGAATAATTGCAAATTAATTATGTTTATCAATGCTCTGTCTTTAGTACATGTTCCATTATACCTGTACTTAGAATGTTTTTCACATAAAATGAAAGAGAATTGTGGTAAATATTGTGGGTTAAGTGTATGCATCATTCTATAGTAAACTGACACTGGAAAAGAGGAGAAAGATGAGAAAGAATTAGCCTTGGATAGAGTATTGAACAGATGCATACATGTGCTGTTATCAACAGTCCTTGGAGATTAAAACTTGCTGAATATGATGTAATTAATTATTGAAACAAGGAAAATTTTAAACACCCCTTTAAAGGCTGAAACCCTACAGGAGGCATGCAAACATGTGGTAGTGCATTTATGCAATGAAATATGAGAAAAGAAAAATGGAAGCAGTAGGCACTGTAAAATATAAGGATTGCCGAAAAGCAAAAGTGTTTGAACATCACTATAAAAGAACAGTAAGATTTTCTAAAGACTACATATTAATATTATTTTATAGAATTGAAATGTAAAAGAATCAAACTTTAAATCTATGGCAGGAGAAGGCACAAAATGCCAAGTATAGGACCACAATTCAATAATTATGAAAAAAATTATATGCATGGAACTATGACTTTCACACATGTCATTGAAAGGCAGACTTTTCTTGATGGGGGATGACCTACTGTATATATGTTTCTCTTACTGGTTGATGGAAAAAAAAAACACTAATTGGCCAGTAGCCAGGCAGAAAGTATAGGCAGGGCTATGAGATGAGGAGAATTGTGGGAAGAGGATGTTGAGAGAGGTCTTGAGAGAGAAGCCATATAGTCAGTGAAGAAGTAACATTATGGAGCTTTCTCCATTAAAATAAGGCCATGTAGAAATACATAGATTAGTGGTTATGAATTAATGATTAAGAGCAAATTAGCCAGTAAGAAGCCCATTGCTCAAACACTTTATAAATAAGTCTCTGTGTGTTTATTTGAGGTAAAGTAACTGTGGAAACAGGCTAGGCAGAAACTCTATCTACATTACATATCATACCTAGGAAAGGAGATAAAAATCCAACCTTATAGATCTCTGGAAATCTCACTAGTGTCAGCTCTCTCCTAAAACCTATTATGATTCCCTCTATTATGGTTTCTCATCCTGGTCTTCTCTATTCTTCCCCTGACTCAAACTTCCTGCTCCCCCATGTCTTCCTCTTCCCCCCTCTTCTCTCCCTCTCTTTTTTCCTGTTCCCTCTCCCCTCCCCCCATGTTCCCAAACTGCTCAGGAGATCTGGCCTCATTCCACTTCATATATCTCTTGAGAACCTCTCTGTTTCCCAGACTCACTGGCAGTGGGATTGTAGGTGGACACTCCCCTGATCCATGTCTAAAATCCATATATGAGTGACTGCATACCAATTTTCTCTTTTTGTTATTGGGTTACCTCACTCAGGATGGTTTCTTCTAGTGCCATTTATTTGCCTGCAAATTTCAAGATTCCAAGTTTGTGTGACAAACTAAGCAATAGTGGAGAGACTACCTTAATAGCCCCTCCCTGATGATGAGATTGCTATCCTAGAACCTTTATCCAGTGACTGATGGAAGTAGAGGTAGATACCCACAGTTAAACACTGAACTGAACTCCTGGAACCCAGTTACAGAGAGGGAGGAGTGATGAGCAAAGGGGTCAGGACCATGCTGGTGAAACCCACAAAGACAGATGACCTGACAAGGGGGAGCTTTTGAACCCCAGACTGATAGCTGAGAGGTGAGCAGGGGACTGATACAGACCTCCTGAATATAGTGCCAGTGAGAGGGCCTCGGCAATTTCTGGGGCCTTGAGTAGTAGATCAGTGTTTACCATGCGTACTAATGAACTTTGGAAGCCCATTCCAAATGGAGGGATGCTCTCTCAGCCTGGACACATGGGTGAGGGCCTAGGACCTGCCCTGGATGAAATGAAGGACTCTGGAGATCACCCATGGAGGGCCTCACCCTCTCTGGGGAATGGTGTGGGGTATTTCAATCTTGGTAATTAAAGACAGTTAGGAAATTCTAGCCACTGGGGAAATGTTTCAACATAGATATTATTAAACTTCTAAAACCAAAAATTAATGCAAATACCTGCAACATAGGTAATGGACTTTGAAAAGTTATTATATAATTAATATTCATAAACAGCCACAAACAGATATTGTTCTGTGAAAAATAACAGGTTACTAGAAAAAAGCCTTTCCATTAAAGTTTTGAAAACATTGATGAGAATTTTGTCATAATAGTATAAAAAATAAAACAGAGACAAACTAATAGGTGAATGATTTAGGAAGTTCAATTGCTGTCTCTCAGAATTATCAGAAAACATAATACAAAGAAAATGGGAAGAAACATTGTATAAAATAAAATGAAAGATATTCTTTCAGGTTCGTTCTCATGGTAACTAATGACATCTTCACCCAGGCACATATGAGGCTTCAGAACTCTAAGATATTGATGTCATCCACAAAGCTTCTAGGAATAGAAACTGTGTTTTAATAGATTCTTAGGAAAGACTTTACCTCACACAGAGATGCAGTCACTGCAGATAAGAAAAGGTTTAAAATGTTTGCTTGTTTGATGAGTAGAGGAACTAATCTGGTCAGTTCTGGGGATCCTTGGCAAATCTGGAAGAATCCTATTACCTTCTCTTGTCCTATTTCACAGATGGGGGAAATGCCTGAGTAGGAAGAAAGTGAACTGTTTATGAACCTCAGACAGCATTATTGTACTGCATGAGAGGATTCTTCAAGACACTAGGAAAGCCCTTTGATGGCAAATAGACAGAGAAAACAAGCAACAATAACACTTACACAGGCTAATTTGATACTCAAACAGAAGTGTGATACCTAGAGATATTAGAGCATTTGCCAGCAATGTACGTTAGTTCTCTACACTGTATTTCTACAACAGCAAGACATGCATATTGAGCCAGATACTCTGTCCAAAATAGAAAGAAATTAAAAGTCAAAAAACTATAACTTGTGCTTGTATTTTTGTTAATTTACACATATAAATATACATACTGGTATTATATAATTCACTCATTTGCTGATCTGCTTGCTCTTTAAATAAAGGAAGAGAGCATAAAAGTTATATTTTGAAGGTAAGTCACAGGAAAAGAAAGCAGTAGGTCAACCTCAGACCTTCTAGCTCCTTCTTTTGTTCCTTTTGTTCTATTCTAATCCTGACACAGCAGAGCAGAACACACAAATATCCAACATGATGAAATATGGCAGATTTTAAGATTTTGATGAGATCTGAACCCAACAAGGAACTAAATCTTTTAAATGCTTGTTGGTTGGTTGGTTGGTTGATTGATTGGTTGATTGATTGATTGATTGATTGAAAAATAATATAGATCTCTGTTATACCATAGTTTAAGCCAAATTCTTTTTCTTTATTGGGCCTAAAAATAATCAAAGATTGATTATTTGACACATTGTTATACCTATATGAATGTATCACCATGGATACTCACTGCAGGAGATGATCAATTTTGGTACATGACTTGGGACCTTCTTTGTACAATAAACAAACTATTGGACAAGCAGTCACTTTTTCCCACAGAACTAAGGTAATTTTTTTTTATCTCGCAGAGCTTTTATTTCAGTACCCGAAAGAATGCAGTTAATGGAATTTATGACTAACATCAGGCATGCACCTCTACCTGAAACTGTTGTTAGTTCTTGACTGGCCTAGATTGTTATACTTCTTTAGGCACATCTGTGAATGTTTTGGAGCCTGATATACAAAGTTAACTTCTTCCCGTGGCAGTCTGGTAATAAGAATTATGCTCATGAGTTAGATTCCTTTATAACTAACTAAAGCCCTCTGGATTCTCAGGCTGCCCATTCTACCTTGAGCCCATGTTTTCAATTCAAGATTTAAGTAAATCACAGTATAGGGAAGACAACCTAAAAGGCTGGCTTGTATAACACCCATAGAATGTTTCTCAGCTGATAGTCAAACTTGAAAGATAAGAAAGCTCACAATTAAACAGTGCCAGGTTATTTCCCCACTGCTACTTTTTCCGACACAAAGATCTCCCTAGAAAACCAGAAATGAATCCATACAAAGAGATTTACCCCATGTGGTCCCACTATCAAATTATAGAAAGCACTTCCACTATCAAAATTATATAAAGCAGTTAAAGGACCTTGAGAAAGCATAGTCCCATGTACAGTAATATGCATCTCATAATTTTGTTTATCTGTCAATGATTTTCATGTGATTAGCTTTAAAAACAACCAAATACACGACTCTCAACTTCCATACATAAAAATTGGTCTTTGTTCATTCTCCGGTGACAAGATGTACCTAGATGATAAAGAAAACTGGGAGCCAATCCCCCCCCATAGCCATTTCTTCAACCATCCCATCAACAGCTCTTCATCGCTTCAACTACTTTTCCAAAGAGGTAATGCTGAGATCAGTCAGAAAGGCTTTCTGAGAAGACTGCTTTGGACTTCTGGGTCTGTTCCAGTCGATTTAAGATGAATTGGCTTGTATCAATGAAGCGCTCAACACAGTTCACAAAGCAGGCCTCAGCCCGACTGTCCAACTTGGGCCCAGGCTTATCCATGCACTTCTCCCAGCAAAGTTCCGTCATCTGGTGCACCAGCTGCTGGAAGCGCTGCTTCTGCGTCCCCACCTCGATGAAATGCTGCAGCTGTGGGTCGACTGCGCCCAAACCCGCGCCCGAAGAGGACGAGGAGGAATCCATCCCGGCGCGACCACGCGGGCCGAAGCGAGCACAGAACCAACTCGCCGACCTTCACGTGTCTGGGTCCTAAGGTAATTTTTATCCATATGTTAAATCCAACTAGTTCGAGCTTGACTTTACATTCTGGAAATCAAAAAGAAACAAATGTCTAACTGCATTGAAGACTGAAAAGTTTGGGCAAATATAATCATTGCCATTCTGTAGCTTTGACATTACAGCTGTGTAGGTAGAGGTATAGACTCTCTCATCCCAAGAAACTGTGTGACACCATGTGTCTATGCTGTGTGCCATGTAGATAAAGCAAGTAAATGTTTTTGAATGAACTTAACATAGCATGTGGTAGTATCATTGTTAGTAGCATGCCATTCCTGTCAATACCTTAGTCATATTAATTGTGGGTAAGTATTGTCATGACTCTATTGAGACAAATTACGTATTAACTCTCTATTTTTTTAAAGTTTATTTTTTGACTTTTATTTTAATTTTGTTTATCTGAATGAGTCTTTGCCTACAGATATGTACATTCACCAGGTTTTTGTTTAGTCTTTATAGAGCACAAATGTCTTTAATGTTTACCCTAGAGTTACAGTTGTTGAGCATTAGTGTGTGGGTGCAAGGAAAATAACCTGTGCCCTTTGCAATGAATGACAGAAACTATTTATAACCACTAAGCCATCTCTCTAGCCCTTATCTTTTAGATGTAAAGCATTAAGGGTATTTTGTACAAAAACATATAGCTAATAAAAAACAATAAGCTATTATTTAACTTCTTCATATATTTATGTAAACCCAAAATGTTTTTTCTATTAACAACTTAAGAATTAGAATTGAGATCTGGTCTGAGAATTCTACTTCTGTTCTGTAAAGACTCATGGTCATAAACTATGTACTAAAACATAAACATTTTTTCTTTTTATTTAAATTAGAAACATGCATGCTTCAAATGTTAATCTGAGCTCCCCCCCTTCTCCCTCCCAGTCCCAGTCCCACCCCCCCATCCCTAGCCCAATCCCCACATCTTTCCCCAGGGAGAACTTTTATCCTACATTCCTTTCTTTCCTCCTCTCTTTCCTTTCTTCCATTTGTCTTGGTGATCAGAGAATAATGCTTACAGTAAGAGGGAGGAAAGAATAATGTTCACACAGAGCACATGCCTACATTTTAAAAGAGTTTCTTTTCTTCAGTCACTAATGGGAAAAGCATGATAAGAACTTGTGATTTGCTCTAGGGCAACAATATTTTACAATCTGCCAATTGATTGAAGCCCCACAGTTGCCTGGAATTTGAATAGAAAAAAATAGAGATAGAAAAGGGAGTTTTCCAGCAGGTCAAGGGAAAAAAGGCTGAAGCTAGGCCAAGGGCATATCACTCAATCAGAGCAAGAGGCATTGCTCATCACCCCCAAATACTGGAACTTAATATTGTTTGTGTTGTTTCATACATACTCAAATGCATTCTTCAAAAGGCACACTATATTTTAAATGATAGTCTATACAAGTGTTTCTTAACACACCAGGTAACAGTGTTTCTTTAACCTGGAATGGATTCAGCTATTTAATTTGACTACAATCTTTAAAAAAATGAAAGAAATAAGAGAGACATAGACTTTCAAATATAGTGAAGAATCCTATCACTGACTGTCACATCCAAAGATAAATCCATTTCTTCAAATTCCAAAAGACAGTGCAAATACCCAGAAATTATCTAAACCTGGACTATAGGAGGATTTCCAGTGGTTAGATAAAAGCCAGCATTCCAGTGGAATTTGTGAGGCTCGTTCCCCTGAGGCTCGTTCCCCTCTACCAGAAAGTGTCATTTCCTTTACCACTGGAAGAAAGAAAAAAATGTCTACCTTAGGGGTCTATTAGCATACAAAGGTGAAAGCTGACCTCCAGATTCCCTCAATATCACAAGTACCTGGTATACATTTGAAGGTCCATGCTAGCCTCCTCATGCTTCGCACCTCATACCCCCTCCTCTATCCTAAACTCCCTCCAGCTCACAGGCATCTCTCCCCATTGCTACTCATTCTCCTCATAACCCTGATAATTTTGCTATGCTCACTTCTTTCTCTGTAATCTTTCAGATGCCTCTGGCTGTTCTCTCTCTCTCTCTCTCTCTCTCTCTCTCTCTCTCTCTCTCTCTCTCTCTAGCTCGCTCTCTCTCTCTCTCTCAACCATACCATGTCATGTCAGCAATTTATACACTGACCAAACAAGCTCAGAGTGATTTAGCTGAATATGTATAAGTAATTTTTCTTCTCTTACTGTGAATTATTTTAAACTCCAGAACTCCCATGAGCCTTTAGTATGCTAAACTAATTATAAATTTCAGTGAAGATGATACACAAGGTCTCATTTTCCAAGCCTCTGTAACATGAGAATATAGATTATATATCAGGTTATCGGGCAGCTAAACAATTAGATAACCTAGGAGACTACACCAAGATTGGTGTTCCAGAAATGAATTCATGAAGTTGATTTTCTCAGTAATGAAGAAGTGATATGCAGTGGAAGTAGGAATGGTCTTCATAGGGTTGGGTGCTGCTGCCCCATCACTGAATGTGAAAGACTTCTCATACTAGTTGAGTCAAATAATGTGTAAAAACATAGTATTTGATTATAGAAAACACCATGTGTGAGATTGAAAAATTAACAACTATTTATCTAAGTACCTTCATCTTCTCATGGAAGAAATGAGTCTTTCTTCATCATTGTCATAAGGATATCACTCTCATCGAAGATCAGAGAACCCCGCAGAAGACAGGAAGGAAAGATTGTAGGAGTGGAGGTGTGGGGAGAAGGAGGACAGCAGGAGAAATATGATGCACTGAAGCAACTAAGCAGGACTCGCATGGCCTTACATGGGCTCACACACACTGAAGCAGCAAGCAGGGGTCCTGCAGGGATCTACACCAGATCTTCAGTGAATATGTTATGGCTATTAGCTTGGTGTTCTTGTGGTACTCCTTACAGTGGGATTAGGTGTACCTCTGAAACTTTTGCCTGTTCTTTGAACTCCTTTCTTCCTTTTGGGTAGGTGGAAGAAGTTGGGGGGTTGGAGGAGTGATAAAATAAAAAAAAGCAGAGAAGGCAATCATTTCCTAGCTAGGACAAGCAAGGAAGGCTTATATGTATGAGTGACTCTAAGTTAACCCTGAAAAATGAAGAAAAACACAGATGGACATGTAGAAACAGCTCTTGTCGAAAGGGACTTACTCCGCACCAGTCTTAAACTCTACAAATATAGGTGAATAACTTGAAAAGTAACAAGATTTCAGGGAATAAAGAACATGCTGACCAGAGGCATTACAATGCTGACTCTGTATCTAAATAGTGAGTCAGAAAGCCACAAGCAAACAAAGGAAGAGTGTCAAAGTCTAGTGCAGCTGACAGAAAGCAACTCACAGGTAGGTAAAGGGGTGAATAAAGGGAAGACATATCAGTTACCATACCCAGCAGCTCTGATATTGCAGACAAAGTCCATGGAAAATCAATACAGTCTTCTAAATGTAAGGAACAGCAGCTGCAAATGGATGATTGAGCATGGTGATGCAGTATGCCTGAAATTGATAGAAATAGGCATGCCACTGATTGTATTGGGGTACCATAAAAACATATGTACACTGGCTTCTTTACAAAATAGAACTCTGTCTTACCAAGATAGAAACTCATAGTCCAATATCAGAATGCCAGCATGAAAAGATTCTAGGAAGAGCTATCTTCTTGACTCATGATCTTTGTCTTATCTTCTATGTGAAGATGGAAGAGAGAGGATCACTGCTAGTAGCTAAAGAGACTAATGAGTTAAACGTTAAACATGCTGCTAAGTTAAGAAGGATGTATTTAGTGAAAGTACCTCTCAGTCTGTGTGTGTGTATGTGTGTCTATGTATCTCTGTGTGTGTCGATGGATACAGCCATTGTCAAGGTTGGAAAGAATGTCAATATTTTAGTTGCTTTATTCTACCATATAAAATTTTTATTACTATAAATGCTGAGAGATAAGACTCCAGTAAAGAATTTTGAATAATAATGGACCAAACAAAATGCAAACCAGTACAATCAGTGTCTATTTCTGTGGTCTGTGTATCTTTGTAGTTATTTTTCCTCACCCCAATTCTCTAGCCTGTGTTTAGAAAAGTTTCCCATATTGGACATGAAGTAGATAGCAAACAAATATTGCATATATATGTTCTTGTGTGAAGTTCAAGAAATCCTACACATCTGGTGCCTTAATTTTCTTTGTCTCTAATCAGAATACTAGCTTCTCTGAGGAGAAATCAAAGTGAAATATCTTTTATCATTTCCAATTACCATCCCTTTATTTCTTCCTAAGCATATATCACACTCCAGTTATTTTACTTCACCACCAGTGAAGAGATGTTTCTGTCAGCAATTTACATGGGAAGACACTGTGCAGGACAAATTTACCAGAGTTGATATTTATTTTGAAGATTTATTTGTTTTGTGACACTTCAATAACAAAATACTGCAGGTTTCCTTGTATAAAGGGTAGAAAATAATTTTCTTAGTTCTGTAGTCATCAATTCCAAAATGAAGGCACAGTCTCTGACAAGGCCACTCTTCCTGGATTGAATCTTCATGTGGCCTCCTCTTAGTGTGTGAATAGGGATGTGAAATCACTACTTTCTCTCCCTCTTACAAGTCTTGTTTGATAAAGATAACTTGCTTGGTTCACAGTTAGATAAATCACCTCACAAACTTACAACCAACATATTTGTTCCATGTCAATTCAATGTAGAAGATGTATAACTGATTGTTTGCAAGGATTATAATAGAAGACTTATGTATTCCCTGTTTCTCCTTAATAGCATATGTGTCCATTAGCTACTACTACTAGGTTACTGTATTACCAACTTACTGTAAGTGCAGTAGTTTAAAACAATACTGTGACCTTTCAGGAATTTTGGCAGGCAGATGGTAGCATGGACTGCCTGAATGTTTCCCATGTAGCCCCCATGCCTGGCATGATCTGCAAACTACTCTATTCAAGACTCTGACATAAGTTCTGTT